ATCAGTCACCAGGCAAGTTTTAGCTGATTTGACCTGATGTTCTGTGTGGTTCTTGTAGGCGAGTCTGTTTCTGTCATCAAACACACTGACCCTGTCCCTGACCCTCGAGCGGTCAATCAAGACAAGAAGAACATGCTCTTTTCTGTAAGAGTTTAACTACACACTTTCTTTCAAACATCCTCCTAAAAGCTTAATCAGTTAGTTTTTTTGTTGTTGTTGTTGTTACTATGAGGTTCTGTTGAGCAAAGTATTTTGTTTCAGGGTACCAACATTTCAGCTGGGAAGGCTGTGGGTGTGGTCGTGGCCACAGGAGTCAACACAGAGATTGGTAAGATCCGTGATGAGATGGCAGCAACTGAGCAAGAGAAGACACCTCTGCAGCAGAAGTTGGATGAATTTGGTCAGCAACTCTCCAAAGTTATTTCCCTAATTTGCATCGCTGTGTGGATCATAAACATTGGCCACTTCAACGACCCTGTCCATGGGGGTTCTTGGATCCGTGGAGCAGTCTATTACTTTAAGATTGCTGTGGCTCTGGCTGTTGCTGCCATTCCTGAGGGTCTTCCTGCTGTGATCACTACATGCCTAGCTCTAGGCACCAGACGCATGGCCAAGAAGAACGCTATCGTCCGCAGCTTGCCCTCTGTAGAGACCCTGGGCTGCACCTCTGTCATCTGTTCTGACAAAACTGGTACTTTGACCACCAACCAGATGTCTGTCTGCAGAGTGAGTCTCACAGAAACACATACACTCTTGGTGCCTATGATACAGCTAAGGTATCGATGGAGCTGATAGCTTGCAGTGCTGCTTTTGCATCACAATGCAGCTTAGCCAGCCAGCTTTTGGTTCCCTTTTGCACTTTCTCAGCATCACCACAAAACTTCTTGATCATGTAAGGTAAAAAAAAAAAAAAGTAGTAGTCCTTTTTTTTGTAGGTAAGTGTGTTTTCTTACTTTTTATGTTTTATATCTATCTTTTATAAGTTGTGTTCTGTAGAGATTTTTTACTTGAAAGCACTTTGTGCTGAAAATGATCAATTTAGAAAAGGTGTAATAGGAAAATCAGTTCCCACCTGGAACTGATTTTCAGTTGCCAACTGTTTCTAATTGATTTTAATCGATTTAGTTTTCCTGAAGACATAAAGGAGAGGAAAATATGGTTTTAGCCGAAGAGGATTTAGCCTTAACTCAGTTCACACCATAACACTCTTGATTAGGATAAATCCCCTCTAGCAAAATATTAATTTCTAGCCTTCTTGATATGAAGCTATTATTTCTTTACGTAAGCTTGTAGAGGCAATCTCACAATGTGTGTGTGTGAGAGAGAACTGTCTTACTTTTAATCAGTGTTTAAAGTTTTTAGAGCTAAATGAAAATGATGATAAAGCCAGAATGTATCAGCATTTTACATTGTTGATAAATTAGCATATTTAGCAAATTAACCATCAGTCTCTGAGCCAGAGAGTCTACAGTCATGGCCAAAAGTATTGAGAATTACACAAATATTATATTTTCACATGATCTGCTGCCCTCTGGTTTTCATGTGTGTATGTCAGATGTTGTCATCACATACATAAATAAAATTGCAATCATATTATGAGTAACAAAAGCTTTTAATGACAGAATGAGTTAATGCAGCAAGTCAATTTTGCAGTGTTGACCCCTCTTCTTCAGGACCTCTGCAATTGCTGATGAAGATTCTCAGTCATCCAGGTCATAGTCATTCCGTAAAAGTTAAAAATAACGTTTCGCCACCTCTCCAGGAAGCTTTCTCAATTCAAATGTCTGGATCCGCAGTGAGTTTGAGTCTTATATAGACAGGGTCTTGTATTGCTCGGAAACATGCAAATGGTAACCAATGAGTGGGTCGTTTGGGTCCATCGTTCACCTCTAATATCTGAAACCTGTCTATGATTCTGAAGGTCGGTCATTAAAGGGGGGGTATTGCCATTAAGGGGGGGATTGTCTCCTGTAATACCTGAGACCTGTCTATGATTGTTAAGGGATTGTTAAGGGACGGTTGTTAAGGAGGTATTGCCGGTGAACAATACCTCCTTAACGACCGACCCAAAAGACATTCTGGTACCATTCTTTATTCATGGCTGTGTTTTTAGGTAAGACTGTGAGAGAGCCGACTCCTTTGGCCGAGAAGCAACCCCACTCATGAATGGTTTCAGGATGCTTTACAGTTGGCATGAGACAAGACTGGTGGTAGCGCTCACCTCGTCTTCTCCGAACTACCGTTTTCCAGATGTCCCAAACAATCGGAAAGGGGATTCATCAGAGAAAATGACTTTACCCCAGTCCTCAGCAGTCCCCTCCCTGTACCTTACCCTATACCTAATAGATTGTTGACTGAGATGCAATCTTTTTAGCTGCGATTCGCTTTCCTGTTAGGCCATTTTTGTGCAGTGCAATGATGACTGCACATGTTTCTATAGAGATAACCATGGTTCACAGAAGAGAAACGATGATGCCAAGCACCAGCCTCTTTTTAAAGTGTCCAGTGGTGTCATTCTTACTTAATCATGACAGATTGATCTCCAACCCTGTCCTCGTCACCACCCACACCTGTGTTAATATAGCAATCAATGAAACGATGTTAGCTGGTCCTTTTAAGGCAGGGCTGCAATGACGTTGAAATGTGTTTTGGGGGATAAAGTTCATTTTCTAGGCAAATATTGACTTTGCAATTAATTGCTGTTACGCTGATCACTCTTTATATAATTCTGGAGTTAATGCAAAATTATAAAAACTGAAGAAGTAGACTTTGTAAATATCAACATTTGAATCATTCTCAAAACTTTTGGCCATGACTGTAGATCCTTTTATTCTTTGGTGCATGGCAGCGTTTTTGTACATGAATATATCACAATAACAACAGCTAGTATTAAAGCTGCTGAAATATTACACAAGGAATAAGCTAAAGATAAGCACTTACCTTAACCTATCTCTTTGTGTTTGGAGCCTGAATAAAAAGGTGATGTACCTCTATATTTGCAAAGTCTTTTAAAATGGCTTTACACCTCTGTGCTTTCTCTGGCCTAAATGTGAAAACTTAATTCATACTAAAAATAGTGAAACTTTCTTACAGTAACATCTTCTGCTCTGAGTGTTATTAGCTTAAACTATTTATTCTAAGCTCTGTTTATTAATTGGCCAGTAAATAATGCTTAATGAGTTTAGGGATGTCCCGATCACGATCTGAAGATTGGATCGTCCGATCTTTTCCTATTTTTCGGTGATTGGAGCTCAGCTACTTTAGAAGAAGAGTTGTGCCGATCTTTACACAACTGCCATAAAGTACCACCTAGTTACGGTTGACAGTAGCTGTGCAATACCAACCGCTGTGGTGGTGCAAATCCAACATGTCAGAAGTTTGGAAATATTTTACTCTTAAGAGTGAAGACTGTCTTAAAGCTAGTTGGAATGTCTGCCACATGACAATTTCAAAAGGAGCTAGAGGCAGAGCTACATTTAACACCACAAATTTAATTAGTTATCTGAGGACAAAACATGATGTGTGTTTTGTAAAGCTGCAGATGGGAAGGTTGCTAAAGTAAAGCAACAAATACTTTAGGCGAGACAAATAGTCCACGGAAAACAAGAGGGCAAAGACGATTAAAGAAAGTTGGTCAAATATATTGCTCTTGACAACCAGCCTGTCGAGAATCTTGGACTTAAATTGTCATCTGGAAGTTTTGGACCCATGCTACAGTCTGCCCTCAAGAAATTACATTGCAGACAAAGCCATAACACAGCTGTACAGCAAAGTTAAAGAAACAATACCAAGTCACTTGAATCGGAATGTTTTTAGTTTCACCACTGATATTTGGAGTACAGACGTTTGTGCGATGTTCCTACTCAGCCTCACGGCACAATGGGTTGATCCTCAAACTGATTTAAGGCGTGCTGTACTGCATGCTCCTCAGTTCCGTGTTATGTATGCTGCTCAATCAAGTGTTATGTAGTTTGGTTAAGGGGGTTTTCTGAGGTTTGTCCTGCCTGCTCCCGTGCAGTGACAAAGTAAATTAACATGCAATTGACTGAAAAAATATGAAAACAAATTAATATCTGCTTTGGGGAAGCTAAGATTATTCTTCATTCCTGTACTATTGACTCTAATTTTCAGATGTTTATACTCGGCAAAGCAGAATGTGAAAGCTGCACTCTGTCAGAATTCACCATTACAGGATCAACTTATGCACCTGAAGGAGAAGTGTGAGTATAGTGAATACATTCAGTTTACAGTTAAACTATGTTGATAAATGCAGATTTGAATAAACACATATCAGACTGAGATGCCTCTTCATAGGTATCAAGATGGCAAACTAGTGAAATGCTCCCAGTATGATGCTCTGGTTGAACTGGCCACCATCTGTGCCCTGTGTAATGACTCATCCCTGGACTACAATGAGGTTTACACAAATTACATTATGAGATTATTAAAAAAGATGAGAATCACAATGAAAATGAGTGACTCGTAATGTGTCTCACTCTTAAGGTAAAGTTTGTGTACGAGAAGGTGGGGGAAGCCACAGAGACTGCACTGACTTGTCTAGTTGAGAAAATGAATGTTTTCGATACAGAAGTCCACAGCTTGTCTAAGATTGACAGAGCCAACGCCTGCAACTCAGTGAGTGACAGCCACCTCCTCACTCTTTACCCCCCAGTTCCTACTCAGCAGGGTTTCTCCCTGACCACGAATTATTTGCATCAGGTGATCAAACAGCTGATGAAGAAGGAGTGCACCCTTGAGTTCTCCAGGGACAGGAAGTCCATGTCTGTCTACTGCACCCCAAACAAGTCTCGTTCCTCGATGGGCAAGATGTTTATAAAGGTAGAATGAAGCAAAACGTGTAAGACTTGATTTGGATGGATTTAGTGTGCATATTTTGCATCTCTGTTCTGCTTCCCAGGGGGCCCCAGAAGGAGTAATTGACCGATGCACTCATGTCCGGGTTGGTAACACTAAAGTCCCCCTCACTCAAGGTATCAAGGAAAATATCTTGTCTGTTATTCGTGAGTATGGAACAGGTCGGGACACATTGAGATGTCTGGCTTTGGCCACACGAGACAACCCTCCTAAAATGGAGGACATGGTACTCTCCGATACCTCCAAGTTCACAGAATATGAGGTAAATATTTATAATTTTTTTTTCTTATTAGCTATTGAAATAGCAGCATCAAACCTAACACTCTGTCACTCTTGTACCTTTTTGTCACCCACTCTGCATCCAGTCTGACCTGACCTTTGTTGGCTGCGTTGGCATGCTGGATCCACCCAGGCAGGAGGTGGCTGCCTCAATTAAACTGTGTCGTCAGGCTGGCATTCGGGTCATCATGATTACCGGGGACAATAAAGGCACAGCCGTGGCCATTTGCAGACGCATCGGCATCCTGATGGAGGATGATGATATAGAGCACATGGCCTTCACTGGGCGAGAATTTGATGAACTGTCTCCCTACGCCCAGCGGGAGGCCGTAACCAAAGCTCGGTGCTTTGCCCGTGTTGAGCCATCCCACAAGTCCAAGATTGTTGAGGTCCTGCAAGGATTTAATGAAATAACTGCCATGGTAAGCAACCCTAGGAAGTACAACACTAATAAAACTGCTGTTTGTTTTTACTCATATTGGTCATTGTGTTGTATTCAGGGTTACAGGATCTCTCAGTTATCAGCTCTCTGTAACATGTTTGTCTAAAGACAGGAGATGGAGTGAACGATGCCCCTGCACTAAAGAAGGCAGAGATCGGCATCGCCATGGGTTCTGGCACTGCCGTGGCCAAGTCAGCCTCAGAGATGGTCCTCGCAGACGACAATTTCTCCTCCATTGTTGCTGCTGTAGAAGAGGGCAGAGCTATATATAATAACATGAAACAATTTATCAGATACCTTATCTCCTCCAATGTGGGTGAGGTTGTTTGGTGAGTTTCCTCTGGAGCAAATAAAAGCCCTTTAGCTACCACACTGCAAAAACAATCTAGGAAAATGTAAAAAATGTCTTAAATTAAATATATTTTCCCTAAATTTGAGTAGGTAAATGAGATAGTTGGCCTATGGAATGAGTATTTTTAGTCTTAAAATAAGATAATTAGATAATATGCACTTGAAATTAGACAATGCAGGTGTCTTTTCTTATTTTAAGTGTAAATTGTCCTGTTCCATTGGCAAAATGTCTCTTTTACCTCCTTAATCCAAGAACAAATGCACTTATTTTAAGAAAAAATGACTTATTTAGATTTCGATTTTTCCCAGTGTGATCCTCTGATATTTAGAGGGAGAAGTAGCTTATGTTAAATACATAAGTATTTACCCCTTCAACCTTGTATATTTTGTAGACTGAAAAAGAACCATGGTTTACTGATATATCTTAACGTTCGATTCTACAGACTAAAGGTTTTTCCCTATTCTTTTTTAGAAAATTTGTAGATATAGAGCATGTTTTCATTGTTTTCCTACAGATTCTTAATAGAATTTAGGTCTGCATTTTGACAAGGACCAAATCATACCATGCCTGTCCATTTTTTAGGTTAATTTTCTACATCAAGTCTGTAATCTTTTGCACCTCCTACACAAGTTGTTAGTCAGACTTTAGACTTAGACAATCTTTGTTGCCATTTTGTATACACAGATTGTAAACAAAACAAAATTTTGCCTTTTCATGACATTTCCGATTCTTAAAGTGCGGCAGTGATCAAATGTATGCAGTGTGGGAGGAACAGTGTTAGGACTACTCTATAGATATATTGGGTTGTTTGGGTTTATAGCCCTTATGCCTTGTGCCAAAATTTTGAATTTCAAGCACTGTATGTAAACAGCAAAACAATATATTTTTGTTAAAGAACTGTTAAAAATTTAATTTTCCATCAAGTCACAATGTTTGGTTGGTCTTTCACATCAAATTTTTATATAATAGTTAAAAATTGTGGTTGCAATGTACAATCGTGAAATGTCTTTTTTCAATGCTAAGCTGCTGCTCACTGTCAGAAAGTGGTATAAACAAAATTTTGTTCTGTATACAGTCCGTGTATACGAAATGACAAAGTTTGTCTAAATCTGAGTGCAAGTTTAAAATTAGGAATAATTTTATGTTCAACAGTTCAGGGTAAATGTCAAATGATGAATACATTTATTTCTGACAAGATTTTCTTCCTGACAGCATCTTCCTGACCGCTGCTCTGGGGTTCCCCGAGGCTCTGATCCCAGTTCAGCTGCTTTGGGTTAATTTGGTGACAGATGGCCTCCCTGCTACAGCCCTTGGCTTCAACCCCCCAGATTTGGACATCATGGAGAAACCTCCCCGTAATGCAAAGGAACCGCTGATCTCTGGTTGGCTCTTTTTCAGATACCTGGCTATTGGAGGTAAGCTGAGTAAATCACAAATGAACAGGTACCAGTCAGGATGTGAAGAAGATAAGCACATTTTATCTTTGCAGCTTTTTTTTATGTGTAACACAGTGGTTCTCAAACTTTTTCTGTCATTCCCCACTTTGGACAAGGGGGAATTTTCAAGCCCCGCCAGTCCTCATCGCCCCAACACAATGCTAATGAAATATGCAACAATCTTAAAATGTTCCAATTTTATTGAAGTAACAAGTAGTATCTAAATACAAACTATCTACATCAAATAACAGCAAGCTAAAAAATAAAGAAAATAAAAATGCAGCTGTGTCATATTTTGTATCAAGCTCAAAGATAGAAAAAATTAAAGTGC